TTTTTTTTTTTAGCAGACCCCCCACAAATTAGAATGATCTCAAAATTACTTTTGTAGAAATTCACAGATTTCTCAGACTTCAGCCTTTAATTAAGCCTTCCCAAAGGCTCACTAAGTAAAGGATACTATCAGGAACTTTGATAACGTGACCAATTCCTTTCCATAGAGGGGCCAGGTCTCCTTTGTACCTCAAGCAGATCTCATCTCCTTGCATAAGACGCATATCTACAAAGGGAGGGAAAAAATGCTCTCAGAATATTCACCAATGAACATCTCCCAACACAAAAAACTCATGGTACTCTCATATATCCCAGGATCATCACAGCTCTTAACACACTGATGTTATTCACCAGGCATTAAAGAAAAAAACCAAAGCCAGAGAAAACATACAATCAAGCTGTCCCTACCTGAATCGGTCTTTGGCAAAGTGAAATAAGCAATTCTTTTCTTGTTCAAGCCCAGGTCCCATCTGACTGTGATGTTGTCTTGGGTCTAATGGTAAAGAAGAGACATCTATTAGGTTCTTAAAGAGCTGTTTGCCAACTACCACAGTCCCCACTGTCCTATACTTCAAAATCAGAGAAATACAAAGCCTACTGGCCTAGTGTCACAGTATAGACAAATATCTGTATTTATTCTTATGGACTGAGTCCACACCATCTGCAGAACATAATTCTGTTCTACAAGAGTTACTTAGCTCATGAGAAACAAAGTCCTAATCACCACCTGTGCTATTCTCTCCCCCCACCTTTAGAACATTCACTAAGTGCTGATGTGACCTCATATAACTCAATATGACTGGAAACTCCAACTGACAAAGGAAACTGCAAGTTATGAGGATAACATAGAAAAAGGTGGCCAAGTTGCACAGTTCCATAATAGAATCTGGTTCTTGGAAAGATAAACTTTGAATGCACAGAAGAGGGAAGTGTTTCAAGTTCTTTTTTTACAACCTCAGTTCAGGTATTTTTGTTTTCTCTCCCTGTTATCACACATCACCACTAGTACTGCAATTACTGTGATGTAACACTACTGTAATGAAGACATTTATTTCACTTGAGCCTTCTTTCTGTGCTGTTAACAGTGACCGTGTGTTTGATACCAGAGAACTGGTCAGAAGGCCCCTCAAACAGGCACATTTTCAAGCATGTTACCTGAGACTCCTTGAGTTTCTTGTCATAGTCAGCCTCAAGCTTGACCAGAGGGCCAAATATGTTCTGGTATTGATAAGCATCTTCATATCTGAGCAGGACATGCTGCGGTTCTTCATCAACACCAGGCTTTTCTAAATCCTCAAGGGTTGCAGATGGATTTTCCTAGAATTTAAAGCACAAACATTTTGTTCTGAAATTCTAAGCATAAACAACTGACAATCTCTCACCATGCAAGAGGATTGATGTGTTTTAATACTACAGAAAGTTATCTCAAGGTATAACCAGTTAAACCTACACCAAGACATTATGTCTTGCTCACTCGCATCCAGTCCGGTTTGTTATACATTAAAGGATATACAGAAAAACATCTCAAAAAGCAGTAACTGAATACTAGGCATGGACTAACAGTTTGGGAAGAAAAGTTGTTGGTTTTCTTCCAGATTGCTGGACAGTGCAGCTCAAACAGAGCTAGAGAACCCAAGGATGAAACCTTCCTACTTTGATAGATGATCTTCTGAATCCTTCAATCAATTCCCAGTTGCATTATTTGTCAAACCTGCTGCATTTAAACCTCATGAGATTAAAGTATATTCCCTGACTTAGAGTTGCTAAGACAATTTTGTCCTTCTCCTTCACAAAACCACAAAATTAGCACTTGCTAAAATATCCAATATTTGAAAAGCAGCACATACCTTCCAAAGTTCTTCCAGTTTGTTGATCTGTTGAGCTGTAATCTGACGTGCTCTCAACTGTTCCTGCTCAGATGGAATGTTTTGTCCTTCTTCATGAAACAACAAATTAGCACTTGCTAAAATATCCAGTATTTCAAAAGCAGCACATACCTTCCAAAGTTCTTCCAGTTTGTTGATCTGTTGAGCTGTAATCTGACGTGCTCTCAACTGTTCCTGCTCAGATGGAATCTTTACCAGCCACGAAAGGAAACAGCGATCTTGGATAAGAGGCTGCCACTGTGAACTGTCCCAATTAATATCCTTTAAACTGCTCTGACTGGCACATGGCTGCCTGCACAACCAAAATATTGAAAAAAATTATTAAATTACACAAGTGTAAGCAAAGGTAAGTGTAAGAAAAACGGTGGAAAATTAAGAGTATAATGTAAGGAAAGACTGGCAAGCGTAAGTGGTAAGCGTAAGAAAAACGGTGGAAAATTAAGAGTATAAAGTGTATTTTTGGTACAAAATGAAAGCAATAGAGTCAATATAATCACACCAATAAAGGCATTCTCTCAGTGTTGCCCTTTAGAAATAAGGCTATGCAATAGAGTCGATATAATCACACCAATAAAGGCATTCTCTCACCTGCACAGCAGAACCACCACGGAGTCTGCCTTAGCTGGAATAAAGCCAAGGAGAAACACATTACGACATCCACAGTTATAACATTCCAAGACAGTCTCTCCTAGAGGTCCATCTTTATGGAGAGTCACCTCTTTGCACTTCGCTCTCACAAGATGATTAACAATGTGGCTGAAAACAGAAAGGACATATGTTTATACAAAGTTAATAGGAAAATCAGATTTAGTCCTAATATATCACCTCAGTTATTAAAAACACAAAGTCTATTTACACTGTGGTGAACATTGGTAAGATCTTGCTCTTTTCATCCAAGCAAAGATACTGTTAACACAGTTTAAATGTTTTTTTCAGTGCATGAATGCTTCAAGGTAGATAAACGTGAAAGAATAGGAAGCGTCTAAAAAGTTCTTTTTATGTTACTGATAATTGAAAGAAGCTTCCCAAAACCCCCCAGTTCAAGAGCAAGTTCGACTGTGCTTTGCAAGAACACAGGATTGGGGAAGCAGCAGCAAGTTCACTTTACAGAAGTGATTCAAGTTTTGCTGAGATCAAAGTCTAAGCTGGTAACAGCGGAAAAGCTAAAGAAGAGGCTGGAGGTTCACATTTAAGTCACTAGACTTCAATTATCACCAAAATGTAAAGTCACAGCCACCACTTCAAAACAAACACACTCGAAAAAAAGATTGTCATTGTTATTTCCACCATTTGACCATTTACCTGCCAGAGGTATTTCCACGCCCGTTACAGAACCACTTTTTGCTGGTGTTACAGTAAACCACACAAGCAGGGTCATGGATGCCACAGTAACTGGAATTAAAAATGAAAAAACAAAAAGTGCTTGGATAATGGCTCATAGGAAAATTCAAATGCAAGATTTAAACTACCCAGTAGCGTGCAAAAATAAGGGGAAGTGAAAATTAGAGAACACGAGTGCTGGTGAAAGCATCAAACACGAGCTGAACTTCTGTGTGAGCCTCATGTATTTTACCACTCCCCACCATCACTGTCCCTCCCCAGCAGAGCCATCTGTTCTTCAAGGAAGCCCAAAGACCTCCTGGCAGCAGCAGCTCGCACAAGAGCTCACCAGAGGGCACCATCTTCCTACCACTACGTGGCCGTCTCCAAGGAAGTTGCTCTCAAATTCCAAAAATCCTCTAAACACATACACCTTTCACTCACCCAAAGTGTTCCTGCCCTCTGGAAATAATAAGCCTGAGGCAAAGACGAGGTCTTACCTGCAAGCGTGCACAGGAAGATCCTTTGTGTAATAGGTATCTTCTTCATCTTCTTCAAAATTCAGCTCTGCCAGAAGCTGGCTGGTTTTCGCCACGTTATCATCCACAGCTCCATTCTGCAGAATGCCGTCAGGGCCGTTCACCTGAGACAGGAGCACAGTGCTTGGGTTACACCATCCAAACAGCCTCAAAAACACGGCGCCAAGGACAGCAATCCCTACTCCCCCCCAAGCAAAAACTTGCCTTTCATTTAGAAAAACCTCAAAAGGAAAGAAAAATGCTGGTAAGAGCGGAAACACGTACCAGTTATATAATTAATATCGCTTCATTAGCTCCTATTTTACAGGATTATTTCAACTCCAACTGATAAGTAGAGAAAAGATAATAGGAGATTGCTTTTCTGCAGCTGACACTTCCATCCAGTCTTATACAACACAAAAAGTTCCATTTAAACAATTCCAGCAGTATCAAGTGTTGTTTTTTCATCTTTCAATTTACTCCAGGAATCCACCTGAAAACAGGACTTTCTCTCCCTGTTTTTATTTTTGCTGCTCTCTAGCCACCAAATCAATGTTTCCTCCCACCCCTCAAGATATCAGAAGCACAACATCATGGGACTCGGATAACAGAGAGCAGTTAATCAAGAAACCTGTTCTTATATACACCTAATAAAAACATATATTGAAATAGTGCAAGAAGTAACAGAAACTGGTTTCCAGCAGTGTCTAACTCTCCAGGCAGCACTGCTTGTTCAAGATGTACCGATCCTATTATATATTGAATCAAATGTTCCTGCAAAATACATCAGGAATGACAACCACTATTGTCTTCTTTATATTTGTTTTAGCTCTGATGTGATTTCCTTTAAAAAATGAGGCCTAAATTATCCACAAAACAGCAGAAGTCCATCAAAACCAGTAAGGCAGCTCAAGTGTGCTAACACAGCACACACACAGGTGTGCTCCCTTCCCTCTGAGGACACCCTGCCAGAACCACCAAGTTCTGCAACATTTGGTGCTGCGTCAGCAGCTTTTACACACCAAGTCTTACTGCTGTTAAAAATAACTCCTTTTTGGCAATACTGAGTACAATACAGGAAGGAGCATCAAGAGGTGTGAATGTCACAAATCCGATTTTGGCCTGGCCAGAGCAGCCGTTGCCCCTGAGGCCTCACAGGTGTCCTGGTTTCATGCCACGGCTGCATCTCTCCAGCCCAACAGCCACGGGGAGCTTCAGCAGCTTATTAATAAAATGCTGTTAGTTAAAAGCCCCCAAGATGGCTAGATTCCCACACCCCCCAAAAAACTGTTCACTCCATCACTTGATTCTCTGACTCCTTTAGCCAAGAGCTCTCTAAAACCTGGGAAGAGGTAAGTATGACATAACCCACGTTAACTTTGAGTGGAAAAAGGTGGGGAAGGGACCATCACAGTGACTGCATTAATTAGCACAATATTAACCAACCACCTGAGTGAGTGCTGGGAGGTACTTTCCCCATCACAGCAAAATCATCCCATGTATCAAAACCTCCCAATATCTCTAAAGGTATCGGGTTAGACAAGTTGAGATTTATTTCTTGTATCAAAACCTCCCAATATATCGGGTTAGACAAGTTGAGATTTATTTCTGAAAATTTCAGCTACCTAATAAATAAGAACATAAGAATTGCCTTCATCTATCCATACAGTATTTTAATAGCTTTTGCACTTAGCCATTTAATGCAATTTATCTGGTATCTGTAACTTAATTCTCTGACAAGGGATAAGAAAGCTGTCCACAGCGAGAAGAACGCTAAATCTTTATTAAAAGAAATTTTATAAAAATAGCTGCTGTAGCATTTTAAAGCTATACCCAATAAGCAAATCCAACAAGCTCATTCCTCTCAGTGTCTCATTTAGATTCCGTTCCAGCTTGTTTCAGTATTGCACATTAAAATTTAACAGCCAATTGCAAGAGTTAAATTTAAAAATAAAACCCTGAGCCACTTCACATTTGCCCTCAGCAGAGAGGAACCGGACTCAACGGCACAAGCTCCGTTTCATTATCTCCAAATGAAATGCGGTGCGTTTGCAAAACGCAGTCTAAATGGTACCACTTTTTATTGCTGTTACCTCCAAGTACTGGCTTTTAATAGAAAGATCAGCCAAGAGGAACCTCCAGGATAGAACATGCAAAAGGAGGAGAGGGGAAAAAGGAAAAAAAAAACCAACCCAAAGAAACCGCAGCAGCACGCAACAACCCATTAGTGTGATGAACCCAAATCCCATCAGCTCCCTGTGTAACGGCATCTCCACAGATGTTTCAAGATAAATATCCATTTTAAATAGATAGTGCCATTTTACAAAATACAAAGATAACTTCTTAACCCAACAGGTGGAATTCCAAAGCCTTAAGTTAATCTGAATTTCTCAGAAGCACGAATCCCGGGTGCATTTCTATCAGTCAATTCCAAAGAGAAAGAATACATTATTATACACAGCAGCTGACGAGTTTAATCCTTTTTTTTTTTTTGGGGGGGTGCTCTTAAAAAATTGGCTTGCTGAACAGTAATAAAATGGTAAAGTTGGTGGGTTATTTTTTTTTTTTTAAAAGACAGGAAAGCAAGCAAATACAAGCTCTCTGTAGCTGTGCAGCAGGTGACAGTGTTGTTGACCCGGGGAGCTCCTGTCCTGTCGGAGTTAGGCAGGAGTGATGTCACCTGTTACTGGGCCCAGCAGCGGGTGCGAGGCCTTGGCAGGCGCACAACGAGGAAGTGACTCAACTTATTGTTCTAAACCCTCCCGTGATGTTAGCCTATGTGCATATTATTAAAAATCTGGCACCGTCCACTGTTGTAGAAGGGAGGAGGGGGGGGCTTTCTCTATTTTAAAAGCCTTGAGTGAAACTTCTGGCACGGCAAGTCGAGCAGCTACAGCAATCTGAACACTCGGGAGCTACCGCCGAGGTACAGTCCCTCCCTCGCCTCGTTTGGGGCCTCTAAAACACTGGTCGAGAGGCAACGGTAAAGATTCAGGAAACAGAGTTATAGAAGAGCCAACCAGATGATGTAATTTACGTAGTGGCTTCCTCTGACCACGTGAACGTGCCCCCAAAAATCAGCGGTAACAGATTATTTCCATCTCCCATTTCTCCCACTCCCACCCACACCAGCAGCTGGTCCACAGGTGAGCACAGCCTCATCCACTCCATGCAATTCTGCTTTAAAACGGTACATTTCAAGCTGCAACAAGAAAAGATAACTGCAGTTAAGTAAGAATTTTGCTAGCCCCGGACTGTTGTTACAAGCCTGCAGTCCAATCAATTGTGGCAACGCCACCTCAACCCTGTAACCGCAGGGCACCCAGTCACACTGTCCCCATTTGGGTGATTTTCCCCTCATGTCTCTGTAGCTGTGCAGCAGGTGACAGTGTTGTTGACCCGGGGAGCTCCTGTCCTGTCGGAGTTAGGCAGGAGTGATGTCACCTGTTACTGGGCCCAGCAGCGGGTGCGAGGCCTTGGCAGGCGCACAACGAGGAAGTGACTCAACTTATTGTTCTAAACCCTCCCGTGATGTTAGCCTATGTGCATATTATTAAAAATCTGGCACCGTCCACTGTTGTAGAAGGGAGGAGGGGGGGGCTTTCTCTATTTTAAAAGCCTTGAGTGAAACTTCTGGCGCAGCAAGTTGAGCAGCTACAGCAATCCAACACTCGGGAGCTACCGCCGAGGTACAGTCCCTCCCTCGCCTCGTTTGGGGCCTCTAAAACACTGGTCGAGAGGCAACGGTAAAGATTCAGGAAACAGAGTTATAGAAGAGCCAACCAGATGATGTAATTTACGTAGTGGCTTCCTCTGACCACGTGAACGTGCCCCCAAAAATCAGCGGTAACAGATTATTTCCATCTCCCATTTCTCCCACTCCCACCCACACCAGCAGCTGGTCCACAGGTGAGCACAGCCTCATCCACTCCATGCAATTCTGCTTTAAAACGGTACATTTCAAGCTGCAACAAGAAAAGATAACTGCAGTTAAGTAAGAATTTTGCTAGCCCCGGACTGTTGTTACAAGCCTGCAGTCCAATCAATTGTGGCAACGCCACCTCAACCCTGTAACCGCAGGGCACCCAGTCACACTGTCCCCATTTGGGTGATTTTCCCCTCATGCTTTAGAAAAAAAATACACATTTTTTGGACTCGCATGGATATTTGTTGTTTGAAGATTCTTTAAAGCTATAGATTATTTATTTGTAATCTCTTATAGTGATTTGCCTTCCTTTTCAAAATAAGGGGATATTCCCAAGAACGTTCACCCCCACAACAGGCTGGAATAAGCTCTATTTCCAGATGGGAACCTGAGCAACGGGGAGTAAAGTCATCTTGCTAAGACAAAAAGTCTTTGTTACAACTGGAAATGAAATCCAGCCTCCATCGTCTAGACCAAAAAAAAAAAAAAATCTAAGGGAGATCCAGCCTCCTTCAACCACTCAAACAGCTTCACTAACACATTAACACCCTGTGCCTTGTCCATCACATCTCACTGTGTGACTGCTCCCAGCATCACAGTCCTTGTGAAAGACTGAAAAAATAAGACAAATCAGAATTTATCTTAAAATATTCTTAAAAACCCCTATTATGTTAGGTTTTAATCATATGGCAATACAGTTTTCTGAAGAGAAAACAGTAAACTTTGCTTCTTCTACTGACCTCTCGCTATCTTTTGTCAACTGGACACTAATCAATTGTAACAACATCCTCTTAAACAATTAGTTAAGTGGACATTGAGAAAGGAAGCTCTTCTAGAGTAGCTAAATCAATCACATTTTCTTAAGAAATGAGGTGCTGTCTTGCTTAACTAATCTTTTTAAACACCAGGACAGTAAAAACATGAAGCAGAGTAGAAGTATACACCTCCAATGTTTATCAACTCCAAATAAAAATTATTTATTCAAGCAGCTTTAATTATAATCAGTAACAACATTTAAGCAAAATGTTTATGATCAATTTTGTGATCTTTGAAGCTATTATTTAGTACATCTGCTGCCAAAAGACATAACAAGTTTCAATTATTTGTTGGAGGCAGCAAAATTTTCGCCAGAATCTTTAAAAAACACCCAGTTTCTGATCTTATCACTCATGGGACCGTTGAGAGGCACAAGTCTAAACAGATCCAGGGAACTGGGCTTTGCTGCGCTTCAGCTCAGGAGGAGGCTCTACTTACTACGCTTCTGAGAGCTCTTTTTGCAACAGATCCATTCTCTCTCCCCACCCTCCCAAAACCCTACATTTTCAGCATCAAAACGAGGATCAGGATGACCGCAAGAGTTTGCGGAAACATCATAAACACGTTTGGTTTAAAAGACATAAAATACTAAACCCTTCCTTCTTGCCAGGAGGGGTGGTTATAGACACGAGTACCTCTATGTGCTCTCCAGATATTTTTTTTTCTTTTTACTTCAAAGGCTTTTCAAACATGTTTAGACAAAAAAAAAAGACACTAATCCTCTCGTCTAGTGTTTTTAGCTTATGAGGCTTATTTTGGGGTGGTTTTTCTCCTTCTTCTGGCCATATTCTCTACTGCAACTACAATCACAATCCATTAAAGCTTTAAAAAGTAAGATTTTTCTAAACTGTCTTTTAAATCGATTTAGATCTAGTCTGACTGGACACAGACAGGAGTTTACTGTTATTAAATAATTCTGATAGGTCAATGCTCGAACTGGATAGTCTATCAAACCCAAATTCTGTAAGCAAACAGAAAATAAACAAACAACCCACAGGGTCAGGTCTCTAATTCTCTTGTAAACACGGGCACCTGGAGCCAATCCCCACTCAGCGGCTCCGCCCAGGTTGACAACTTTTCCAGCACAAAAGAGTTGTTCAATTTGCCCTGGAATAAACCCGATCCAGCTGGGGGGGGATAATGCCACCCCCAGTCCAACACTGCACACCTGTAGGTTCTCAGTGCCGGGACACCCTGGCCCATTTTCAGTTTCTCACTTGTGTTTCCACACCTCTGTCACTTACAGACCCCAACACATCACATTTTGTAAGGAAAATGGAAAAAAAAGAAATCAAGCCCACTCAAAACTATGTTTGTGTCAGGATTAAGAACTTATCTAAAGCATTTCAACTCCTCTTTAAACTCATCCTTTAAAATACAGATAATTTACAAACGCTTAATGGTTAATAATGTGACTACAGGAGTATTTAACTAGATGTAATAAAACTTCACAAAATATTCCATGATCCTTAAATGCAGAAAAGTTTCATTTTTTTAAAAACACAGAAGAGTTCTTCAGGGCTGTTTTTTTTTTACTACAGACACAGCCAAGATGTAGAACAGTGACAGGCAGTGTCTTCATTCGCAACACTTCCTCACCTGCAAGCATATAACCCTAATTCCCTCTTTTCTGTCCCTTTTGTGACTTGATAAGTAAATACTATTTAATTATCATTCATGTATCAACCATCAACAGGCCACACATTTTTTGGACTCGCATGGATATTTGTTGTTTGAAGATTCTTTAAAGCTATAGATTATTTATTTGTAATCTCTTATAGTGATTTGCCTTCCTTTTCAAAATAAGGGGATATTCCCCAGAACGTTCACCCCCCCAACAGGCTGGAATAAGCTCTATTTCCAAATGGGAACCTGAGCAACAGGGAGTAAAGTCATCTTGCTAAGACAAAAAGTCTTTGTTACAACTGGAAATGAAATCCAGCCTCCATCGTCTAGACCAAAAAAAAAAAAAATCTAATGGAGACCCAGCCTCCTTCAACCACTCAAACAGCTTCACTAACACATTAACACCCTGTGCCTTGTCCATCACATCTCACTGTGTGACTGCTCCCAGCATCACAGTCCTTGTGAAAGACTGAAAAAATAAGACAAATCAGAATTTATCTTAAAATATTCTTAAAAACCCCTATTATGTTAGGTTTTAATCATATGGCAATACAGTTTTCTGAAGAGAAAACAGTAAACTTTGCTTCTTCTACTGACCTCTCGCTATCTTTTGTCAACTGGACACTAATCAATTGTAACAACATCCTCTTAAACAATTAGTTAAGTGGACATTGAGAAAGGAAGCTCTTCTAGAGTAGCTAAATCAATCACATTTTCTTAAGAAATGAGGTGCTGTCTTGCTTAACTAATCTTTTTAAACACCAGGACAGTAAAAATATGAAGCAGAATAGAAGTATACACCTTCAATGTTTATCAACTCCAAATAAAAATTATTTATTCAAGCAGCTTTAATTATAATCAGTAACAACATTTAAGCAAAATGTTTATGATCAATTTTGTGATCTTGGAAGCTATTATTTAGTACATCTGCTGCCAAAAGACATAACAAGTTTCAATTATTTGTTGGAGGCAGCAAAATTTTCGCCAGAATCTTTAAAAAACACCCAGTTTCTGATCTTATCACTCATGGGACCGTTGAGAGGCACAAGTCTAAACAGATCCAGGGAGCTGGGCTTTGCTGTGCTTCAGCTCAGGAGGAGGCTCTACTTACTACGCTTCTGAGAGCTCTTTTTGCAACAGATCCATTCTCTCTCCCCACCCTCCCAAAACCCTACATTTTCAGCATCAAAACGAGGATCAGGATGACCGCAAGAGTTTGCGGAAACATCATAAACACGTTTGGTTTAAAAGACATAAAATACTAAACCCTTCCTTCTTGCCAGGAGGGGTGGTTATAGACACGAGTACCTCTATGTGCTCTCCAGATATTTTTTTTTCTTTTTACTTCAAAGGCTTTTCAAACATGTTTAGACAAAAAAAAAAGACACTAATCCTCTCGTCTAGTGTTTTTAGCTTATGAGGCTTATTTTGGGGTGGTTTTTCTCCTTCTTCTGGCCATATTCTCTACTGCAACTACAATCACAATCCATTAAAGCTTTAAAAAGTAAGATTTTTCTAAACTGTCTTTTAAATCGATTTAGATCTAGTCTGACTGGACACAGACAGGAGTTTACTGCTATTAAATAATTCTGATAGGTCAATGCTCGAACTGGATAGTCTATCAAACCCAAATTCTGTAAGCAAACAGAAAATAAACAAACAACCCACAGGGTCAGGTCTCTAATTCTCTTGTAAACACGGGCACCTGGAGCCAATCCCCACTCAGCGGCTCCGCCCAGGTTGACAACTTTTCCAGCACAAAAGAGTTGTTCAATTTGCCCTGGAATAAACCCGATCCAGCTGGGGGGGGATAATGCCACCCCCAGTCCAACACTGCACACCTGTAGGTTCTCAGTGCCGGGACACCCTGGCCCATTTTCAGTTTCTCACTTGTGTTTCCACACCTCTGTCACTTACAGACCCCAACACATCACATTTTGTAAGGAAAATGGAAAAAAAAGAAATCAAGCCCACTCAAAACTATGTTTGTGTCAGGATTAAGAACTTATCTAAAGCATTTCAACTCCTCTTTAAACTCATCCTTTAAAATACGGATAATTTACAAACGCTTAATGGTTAATAATGGGACTACAGGAGTATTTAACTAAATGTAATAAAGCTTCACAGAATATTCCATGATTCTTAAATGGAGAAAAGTTTCACTTTTTAAAAAACACGGGAGAGTTCTTTAGGGTTGTATTTTTTTTTTACTACAGACACAGCCAAGATGTAGAACAGTGACAGGCAGTGTCTTCATTCGCAACACTTCCTCACCTGCAAGCATATAACCCTAATTCCCTCTTTTCTGTCCCTTTTGTGACTTGATAAGCAAATACTATTTAATTATCATTCATATATCAACCATCAACAGGCTAGATATTAAAAAAAACAAACCCAAACCACTTCTTTTTAAGCTATGAGGAACCAGACCTTTGAACTTGAGGCTCAGGCCATTACAGACCGTCACTCCCACACAAACCCAAAACAAACCAGCCTAGCAACGGTGAAGAGAAAAGTGAGCAAAAAAAAATTAAAACATTAAACGCATATTTTGCTTTTTATTCAAGAAAGAAAGCAATTAAAGCAAGTAATGAATTTTCACAGTACTTCACTTTCGATAGCCAAGTGCTAACTACAGACGTATTTATTTTTTAAGGAGGAAAGGAAACTGAAATCGCATCCAGCTGCATTTCCGATTTCTGACTTCAACATCGCACCCGAAAAAAGGGACGCAACTGTCACGGACAGAGCCGCGCGCTCCGCCGGCTTCACCACCCGACAACCGGCCGCCGCTTTTATCCCCTTCCCAGGGCAGAAGTCGAGCCTTCGGTTGCCAGGCCCGGCCCGCGCTACGCCGGCAGCGGTGCAGGCCGCGAGCGCGCGCGCGCTCCAACCGGCCACCAACGGGGCCTTTCCGCCGGCGGTCCCCACGCGGCCGGGGCGGGAGGTGGAGGCCAACGGCGGAGGAAAGGCGGCCGAGGCGGGGCGGGGGCCGGCGGAAGAGCGAGCCCCGAGGCGCTGCGAGCGGAACCAACCGACCGTCCGGGCGCTGCTGCCGCCGCCGCCGCCGCGCGCCAGGCCAGGAGCGGTGACGCGGAGCGCAGGGAGGACGCCGCCGACGCCAGCACGCCCCGTGCGCGTGGGAGGGGTGACGTAGCACGCACACACCTGGGGAGGGCAAGGCGAAGGGGCGGAGCTCGCGGCGGAAGGCGCGAAGGGGAGCGCGCCGCGCGAGACACCTAGCGGGGGGGGGG